ACCCCTGAATAAAGTACTTAAAAGTCAAAGTCTTTCTTTCTTTTTCTTTCTTATCATTTGCTAAGTTAGTGAGCATAGTGAAGCCTTCCCCCTCCAGTACATGAATCTGAAGCTAACACCTCAAATCTTACTGAGCATGAGAAGTTATACCTTGAGCTCTTTTGGAAAACTCCTGTCTTCTTTGAAGTGTCTGAAATACATCGTGAAATTATGGGAAGGAGGCTGGCACTGTGCAAACATTTTCACAGGGAATGTTTAACATAACCTAATTGCTTGATCAGCAAAGTGTGAGGATTAAACAGTGTCTTATTTCAGGTAGCAAAATCCCACATGAGGAACATCAGCTGATTATGCCAGTTATGCATGAATAAAAGTTCACAGAACAGACAGCCATAACTCCATATGTAAGGTTTACAATTAGGTTTCCATTTTAAATGTTTTTATAACTCCCTCTCAAATATTTGACAGAAAGAGAAGAGACAAAGGGTTGTTGTTTGTTTGTTTTTTGCTGGACCAACTACAGTTGCTGAATTCAGAAATTTTGTAAGTTCTTCTGTTTTCCCTGCGCTTTAAGTTCCTTGCAGATCAAAGAACTCCTCATAGCCCCTTTGGACTTCCTAAATCAAAAATAAACTCCCTTATTTCTAATGCTATTGCCCCATTTCCTACCCAGGCATTTTTATGTTTACATTCTCCAACAATTTTAACTGGGAAAAGGGGAATGGAGTTTGATATGAGGGGCTGCTGAAGCCAAATGTGCAATGAAAAAACAAAATTAAAGATCAAGGCTCCTTAATTAGTTAGGGCCCAGCAACAGTTCAGTCACAAAATGGTCATTGCCTAGGTGAAACCATTTAACTGGGGCTTACAGACATGTTTCCTAAACTTCCAGGTATTTTTTTCCTTCTTTGATTAGCTTTTTTTGTAGTAACTAAAATGGTAGCTGGGAATTTTGTCTTTAAGTACACTCTGCAAAATCCCACATTTGTTTCATGTGACCATAAACCCCTTCAAGGACATTATTGTGAATGAAATCCTGTATGCCAGTTAGGCTGTTTTTTTGTTCAATGCAGTTTTAGTCACACATACCAAGACCCAGATCCTGTGATGTATTGCACAAGGTTCTGCCTGTGAATGGTGCAGGCTCAAGTTTCTTTTCTATCTTGCTAGGTTCACAAAACATGAACATATGCAAGCACAGATAATTTCTGTACATGCCATAAATGTATTTGAACCAAAAATATTTAGTTTATGCAGACTGACCACCAGACTGACCACTCAACTTGTTCATTATTAGGACAGTGTCTGAAATAAATGAAAAATAGGCAAGACTCATTAGGATACAGAAATCAGGAAATAATAAATTACACTCACTTTATAGAACATTGGTGCAATTGGATTAAGGAGATTTATCTGCCTCTCAAGAAGTAGTACTGTAAGGCGCTAGGTATGTCAGACAGGGTATCGAACTACTAGAACAATGACTGAATGTGCTTACAAGTCCTATGTTCCTAAAGTAATTTGTAGTTCACTTATTACAGCAAATATAGGTGTTCTGTAGATTTCTTTCAGCGTTTTTCTCATGTATATTTTAATGTCCATGAGTACAATATTGCTGTTATAATATTTTAGAATTTTTGTATCTGAACAAGTTCCCAGGTCAGGTTTGCAAGGCTAGATGAAGGATTTCTCATTTATCCAATAATGCATTTTAACAAAATAAGCTTCCATGTTACCTGCACAGCACTATGCAGTTTGACTTCAGGTTTGACTACTGCTAAACAGCAGCACTGCTTAATACTATTTTATAGCCAAAGTGGTAAGAAATCTTATGACTAGACACAATGATTCAAAATGCATCTTTCCACATGCAAATCACAGAAAGTGTAACTGAAAGTCAGATGTACACATGGAATTGAAAAGTACCTGAGAATGTTTGGAGACCCAATGACGCAAGACATTCAGGACACGATTAGTGGCTGCTCTGCGTATTATAAATTCCTTGTCACATGTTCGTTCAGAGTTGTTAAATCCTTTTGGGGAAAAAAATACAAAGTAATTTAAGCAAAACACAAACAGTGTTTCAATAAACCCTTAAAATATACTGTTAACATGGCTAAGTAAAACTATATAAAAAATTTCTGAATAATGGAAAACAAGGAGCATACAGAATACTTCTAACATAATAATTTGGGCTCCTGAAATACTGCAGGAATAGTATAAACCAAATCCTCCCTCTGTAGACAAATAACGGTTTCAACTATCCTTAGTGTTCAGCACAAAGAAGGTGAGATGTATATCCACTTTAAATCATTACTAAAATCATGAAAAAAGATGTGTGCATAGAATATGAGAGAATAACCTAAAGGAAGAAAGAAACAGAACACTGAATACTAGGGCTGTGCGAAATTACGCTGGCTGTTTCATTTTGACACTGTTTTGACTCATTTCGAGCTCAAAACGGAGAAACTGAAACAAAACAAAGGGCTTCAAAACAAAAATGAGGCTAGTTTGAAATGTTTCGAGTTTTGAAGCAGCCAGGTGGTGGAAGACAGGGGAGAACCAGGGCTGGACTCCCAGTGGCTCCAGGCTCAGCCCTGGCTCTCCCTGCCAACCGCAGCTGGCTGTGGGAGGCCGATCACAGTGCAGGGGAAGGGAACTGAGCCCCAACTCAGTTCCCCTCCCCCGTGCTGCAGTCGGACTGGAGAAGGGAACTGAGCCCGATCGCTCAGTTTCCTTTCCCAGCCCTACGATCGGGCTGGGAAAGGCAACTCAGCCCAGCTGGGCTGAGTTCGTTTCACCAGCCCAATGGTTACGCTGGGATTGAGAACTCAGCCCAGCTGGGCTGAGTTCATTTCCCCAGCCTGATGGCAGGCTCACCTCAGCCCCAGTTCCCTTCCCTGATCAGTCCCAGTGCTGGGGAGGGGAACTGAGCAACGGGGCTCAGTTCCCTTCCCCATCTCCCCAGTCCAGTCCCAGGCGGCATCCCTCCCACATCTGGCAGGCAGATGGGGGCCGCAATCCCAGGAGGACTGGCACAGGCCCCGCAGCCCCCCGGGGGTTGTGCCCCTATCTGCAGGCCAGATGAGAGAGGCTGTTTCGAGCTTCTCCATTATAGTCTATGGGCGACACATCAAAACAGCCTCAAAACAGCATCACTGTTTCAATGAAACAAAATGGAACAGGAGTTTCAAACTGAAACGAAATTCTAAATGAAATGCTGTTCCATCAAAATCTTGAAACACAAGTTGAAATGGAATGGTGGCATTTCACACAGCCCTACTGAATACCAGACACAGGCTAAGTATAAAGAAGGACTATAAATATGGTTTAGGAAATGAAAGACAGTAGGGGAAAGACAATAAGATAAGAGAATGGCAGAAACAGTGTGTCCCAGATCAAACCAATAATCCATCCCTACCCACCCCACGCAGAAACACATGTCTGAGTCCCAGA